GGGGGGGGGGGGAAGGAGAATACTTCCCGGTATTTTTGGACCTCACCCATTTCCGAAACGGATTTACCCAGAATCGGTGGCGGCTTTTCAGAGAAGACAGGATAGGCAGTGCCTAACCGGCTCGAAATTAGTTGTATCAAATTAACGTTCCTGTACCCGTACCTATACTACGATGAGCACAGCCTAGAAGGATTTGTTTTTACTCGTTCCAAAATTAAATGCAAAATGAGATTTTGCTCCCGTGGTAGGCAAGATGCGGCCTGCTTACGAAGGGCCAGCCTTGAATCCAACTCAGGGGAGAGGAAAGGGGGGAAGTGAGCTTACCAAGGGTCATCCCAGTTTTTGGCCACGCTGATACGACTCCCATAGTTTGTGGACACCCTGTGCGCACATCGGGAAACACTAGCTAATAGGTCCTCGTACGGGAAGAAGTTGATAGAATGCTTGAAAACGGCCAGATTAACTAATTATGTTGCCTCACTGGCCAACAACTGGAGACCGGCCAGAAACCGGGGTGCTTACCCTATGTGTGTAAAAAAACTGAGTTGAAAGAGCGCTATGTTGGTATTCGTTGCTATTGATATGATAAGCGTAAACTGTAAGAGTAAGGTATTATTGTAAGATTATGTGATGTCGGAAAGAGGTGATAAATAGATGCGAACGGTGGTAAAAGCAAGTGCGATAGTATGGTACCGTCGAAGTGAATTTAGGATCAAATACAGGATGACCCAAAAGTCCTGGCACACATGGAGGTTAGCATATTTATTTCACAATCTTAACAATAAACAACAAACTTAAAAACAAAAAGAACAATGTCCTAAGACCACAAATGTGTTACTGTACAAAAACTATACATAAAGATCAGAAAATTTTGTCTTGACGCTAAAATTTTTCAAGCAAAAGAATAGTGCGCCAGGACTTTTGAACACCTTGTAAATGGGGAGACGGACGGAAAGAGTGCCTCACGTGCAGAGGAAGATCGAAACGCGAATAAGAGAATACGATGGAGAGTTACGCGACGAAGAAAGATCGTGAAGATATCGACGTCGAAGAACGTGATGTACCGATACGTTTTGAACGCGACGTTATATACGGTGAACGAAACGTGCTTGGAATACACAAAGTGAAGATACGAGAAGAAGGCGATAGAAGAGGAGCATAAAGAACGCAAGAAGCCGATAGGCGATGAGAACGCGAGATCGGTCGATGTCGAAATCGAACGCGAGGACAAGATTTCAGAACGGTTGAACAGAAGCGTGAATAAACTGATGCATCCGCTAAAATCTCTCGTGAATGTGATGCTGACATCGATGTAAATTGGGAAAAGGCGATCGCGACGGCGACGAGGAGTAATTTGAGAGGAGATTCTGAGGATCCCATTCAGTGATTCACCTCGTCTAAAATGGCATCGTTCATCGAGTGGGGAGACGGGAACTTCCTTCCGTCTCCGTTTCGGTAATCACAAAATTAGCTTCAGACGAGGTGTTCGCAACCTACCTGTGTACCTACCTGTGTGAATCATTTCAGCCAAGCGTCCCACTCTATTGATGACACGATGGTGGGATATTCTTGCAGGGAATCTTATGGACACGAAACGAAGACGATTGAATGAACTCCAAAAGATCATCCAATGGAAAACTCACTCGTTGGGGCTCAACAAAGACATCTCCTACTCGACTCGTTACATCTTTTTTCAATCCGTACGCGAAGGGTAAGGAAGCCTCAGAAGCCTATTTCCCCTCGAGAAAGGCATCGACTTGCCGAAACGTCGGGGGATAATCCACCCTCTTAGTCAACTTTATCTAACTCGATCGTTTTGTTCGTACATTCACTCCATATCTTCACAAGCGGGAATAGCACTAGAACAAAAGTCGTTCGTTCATATGATTTCGACACGTCCTCGCATAATTGTTTACAACTTTCGAGGGAAAAAAATGATTGTCGAACCTCAGCGTAGGCTCTGCGATCTTCGAGATGTTTTTAACCATTACAGGCTCTTCATATTTATTCAGAGCACCGTCGATTTCGCATTCGTTTATCTCGCCGTCGATCGGTATCTCGGATACATCTCAGATCGATCGACGTGCTTTTGGATGAGACGAGCAACTTGCATTTTTTTTTATCGACGGGCTTCGAAATCTTTTTGAGGAACGATCCGATCGCAAGCGCGACCGAATCTCGCAAGAGAGATGCCGAGGATGGGCACCGACTACGGTCGAGCGGGCTGCCGATCCGCCCGACGTGGCGAGTGGAGAGATTGCTTCGATTCCGGTCTGCACCGAGTTCGGCGCGTCGTGGACTCGGTTCTTTCTGCTTTTTGGATTCTCGATTATCTCGAGGTCGCGTTCGGAGAGACTTTTCGATCTCGTGGACTTCCATATTTCCGAACGCGGACGAATCCCTCACCGACGGGTCTGCTCCATTAGAAGCCGTTTATCTTAATCGTATAAATTAAACGAACAAGCGACTTCCACGCGTTTCGGAAAAGCGATAGACGATGACGCGTCCCGACCGATCGAGAACCGCAAAGACGCTTTCGAGAATCCGATGTACCCGAACGGACCGAAGTCCAACCTGCGCGCGATCGTTTGCGGCGCATCCGACACCGGAAAGACGAACGCGATCGCTCGGGAATCGTGTCGACCCGTGCCTCGGGACGACCTCTGCCTGCACCCGAACGAGAGGATTCACGCGTTTCTGAGAAGAGCCCTGCGAGAGGATCGCGAAGATTCTTCTGGACTCGGAGTTTATCGACGAGCCGGATCGAAATCGGATCTCGTCGATCGCATCGCCGATAAAGAGAACCAGATCGGGGACGATCGGGATCGGGGACGATCGGGATCGGGGACGATCGGGATCGGGGATGCATTCGTGAAATGGAAGCGGAAGAGATCGCGGACTCTTTCGCTCTACGGACGACCGCGCGATGAACAAAAAACTGCATCAGAATCACAATTTTGGACCTAGCGAGGACGAATTCAAAGCCGCGTGCGAGCAGGTGACCGATGATAGGAACTTATTGTTCATCGATCCTCAGAACGGAAATCTGGTCGCGAAAATGGAAGAGAATTTTAATCGATCGTTGAGAATTAAATGAGCAGCTTGTTACGATTCGCTCGTGAAAGACGTTGTCGCCGACCGAAAGCGACTCGAGGATGAAATAGAAACGAACGCGAAAAAGCTGCGGTGCTGGTGGTGGTCGTGGCTGTCACCTGCAACGCGCGGGCCTACCATGCTATGCCATTCTGGATCATAGGCTAGGCCATCCACCGCTCAAAGCGCCAGGTCCATCAAGCTATGTCAATTTGAGCCATAGGCTGTGGCTCATTCTATTATTTCCATAAGCTTCATACTTAGCTGTGTCAATCATAGGGTGCTACTAGGAAACGGATGAGATATTTACGTTTCTCGGGATGCCGAGAAACGTAAAGAGGTCTCAAAAGGTTAATAATTTTTCTTCCCACGCTTCCTTCCTTGTTCCAGCCATTCCCTTTCTTTCGTTTCGATTCCAAGTATGAAGGATCCTTTATGACCGATCGACGGAGAGGTTCCGATCCCGTACGATGTCGATGAGAATGACGATGGCGCCGTGAATCCGGCCGAGTATCGTTCCGTTGTCGTTTTCGGCGCGTCCGGAGCGGTTGCAGACCCGATCGAACGAGGCCTCGGTCCGACACGAACCTAGAAACGACTCGTGCCTATGCCTAAGCTAGAGCGATGAAATCATCTTGCAAGCCACACGGTGATGAATTTAAGATAAAATCAGCTGGGGGAGGTCGCGGTCCTTCACTTCCCCCAGGCCACTTCCGGGGAGAACGATATCGAAAAGGTCCGACCTCGACCGTGCGAGAGGGAGCGACTCCCTTTCCCGATTCGACGCGAAGGAGTGCACGCGAGACTTTTGTCGGGCTCTTCCTCGCGATAACGGTGCACGAGAAGTGGAAAGGGCGTGAGCGTCCTCATTCTTCCGAGAATCCCATCTTATCGTCGGTGTCGGTAGCACGCGAGCGAGGAAGAGAGAACGGGCGCGACCATCGATCGCGGATCGCTTCGGGGTTTCGAGCGGGTGGGATTTCCGAATCGGAGATCGACGTCTCGAACCGTACGATACCGGTCTGCCGTTCCGCCGTCATCGTCGACGTCGTCGCGCGGGATCGAAAGTTTTCTCTCTCGACGCGATGACCGTACGAGGCTTCGCAATAGGGAGAAGAGGAGCAGAACGAAGGCGGCGGGACCGGAGGCCCCCAGAGCGGACTGAACGCGGAGGTCTACCGGAAACTGCGCGAAGGAACGACCGTCATCAATCCGGATGGGGCCCTCTACTTTCGCTGGCTCTCCATCATCACCACCGGTGTCCTCTATAACCTGTGGACGTTGATCGTCCGGCAGGCGTTACCGGATCTTCAGAGCCGGTACTTGCTCCTCTGGTTGATCTCCGACTACACCTGCGATGCCATCTTTCTCCTCGACGTCTTCGTTCAGTTTCGGACGGGCTACCTCGAACAAGGACTCATGGTTTACGACTCCAGAAAACTCGCTCACCATTACATTCATTCCCGTGCCTTCGTCTTGGATCTCGCCTGCCTCGCCCCTTTCGATCTCCTTCAACTCTATTTCGGCTCCTTTCCCATCCTTCGTTTCCCCCGGTTCCTCAAGTTCTACAGATCTTATTCCTATTACTACTCGGTGGAATCTCGAACGTGGTACCCGAATCTGTGGCGCGTCGTGAATCTCATCCACATCCTCTTGCTCCTGGCCCATTGGTTCGGGTGTTTCTATTTTCTCCTGTCCGAAGCGGCCGCCTTCAAAGGCCAATGGGTATACCCGACTCCAGAAGGGGATTTCGCCACGCTGACTCGAAAATACTTGGGATCCCTCTATTGGTCCATGCTGACCTTGACCACGATCGGGGACCTCCCTGCACCCGACACGGACGAACAGTGAGTCCCTTCTGCTTTCCCGCACTCGTACGAAACAGGTCAGTCGGTCAGTTGAGTTCGTCGAATTCGAATTCAATTCAAGGATCACGTTTCTTTCCCATGCCGTCGCTTGGAAAGGTCTCAAGTATCTGTTGAGGAGGCAAGATCGGGCCACGGTTTCCCTAAGCGTATGCGTAAATCCCGCCTCCTTCAAATCCCGACTAACGAGGGGTCAGTATGAACTCGATGTTTCTTGATGCAAACAAAAATTTCCCTGTACCCCATCTGATTGGTGGAGCTTTTATGACGTCATCTCGCGCCTACCCCAACCGCGCTTCTTATGGTAGGACTGAGTAAAACTCGACGATTAAATGTTTTCTGGGGGAACCTTTTCTTCCACTGTTCTGTTTCTTGGGGTAAGTGTGGCATGCATTGCCTGCGTCCCTTTTCCATTACCGGTACTCAATGTTCAATTTCCTTTCCTCGTTTTCCTTAAGTTTCACTTTAGTTAGTTTCTCTTCTTTTTTGACATGTGCAGCTTGCCCCAAGATCGAGAACAGTTGCCATACCTCTTAGATGGTTTATCAAGAGTTTGCTTGCACCTCAATGCACGAAGGGACCATTTTGTTGGAAGATTAAAAAAAGAATACCGTGAACGCCACTTGGGGTAGGCTGCGCGCTTCAGTTCCGACTTATCCTCAGTTCTGCAGCATGTATGGTCACTTTTTGCATGACTCAACGAGAAGATTAGTTTCACTGTCTCAACCGTTGCATACTCTTCCTGTCACGTTTTTCGATACGAGGGATATTCGGAGGTGTAACATCGTGTTACCTCTTGCAGGTACTTGTTCACGATCGTGAGCTACCTCATTGGCGTTTTTGTGTTTGCTACAATCGTGGGTAAGTTTTGTTCGTCCTCGAGTGATCTGCTGATGGAAACAAATCGATCAGCTTTTATTTTTCGATCGCGATCTCCCAGGTCAAGTGGGGAATGTGATAACGAACCGAAACGCTAACCGCCTGGAATTCGAGCGTCTTCTCGTGAGTCCTCAACCCATTTTGTATGAGATTTAGCCAACGTCTATACGTATTTTTGCCATGGCTCTTTGCGTTCGGTAACAGGACAGCGCCAAGTTGTACATGCGGCACCATAAGGTCCCGCGGGAGATGCAACGGAGAGTGCAGCGATGGTACGATTACTCCTGGTCCAGGTGAGCATCTACAGTTCCCAGGAGAAACGCAACACGCCCGTGCGCGTGCGTGCGTGCGTGCGTCCACGCGCGAGAGGACGAACCGAGAGAATTTTCGGTTCTCTGTTGTTTTTTGAGGGGCAGAGGGAGGCTTCAGGGCGGTGGGGATATCAACACGGCTCTCGGGATCCTCCCCGACAAACTCAAGACAGAGCTCGCTCTTCACGTCAATCTCTCCACGTTAAAAAAAGTAACGTCCTTTACCCTCATCTCCCAATATGCCAAGTGTCATTTTCAATAATTAACGTGTCCAAAGTGATCGGTTCAAAACTGCATGAAAATGTGGAATCATGAGTGGATTCGCCTCGCCATGAAAAGAATTGAAGGATCTTACAAGGATTTTCTTCGGGATATGAAGCGATTTGAAGGTATAAATTAGTTCTGTTATCCACGACTAAGCCAAAAAAGAATCTATCATACAGATCCACTTAAAGTCAGCTCGTGATCGAGCGATCAGGTTTTCGACATCGTCTTCAATCGGACGTCACCAAACGGGAATTTGGAACCACACGAGAGGAAGAAAAATGAGCTTCAATATGGAAATTCCCCGTTGGAAACTCGATCCCTTCGGTCTCGAGACGATCAACAGGTTTTTCAGCTCTCCGGTGTCCGCGTAAGGCAGCAATTAAGCAAGAGTACTTTCAAGCGATGCTTGTGAGTGGTAGTTTAAAAAGTAGATGATTCCTTCTGCAGACAATGATTGAGTACCTACCAGAAAACATGTTTATTTGATGCCTTTCCTTTAAAACTTTATTTCGACAAATTCACGAATATGCACAAAAATATGCACAGAAGCATATGAAGCACAAGAAGTTCCAAATGAATAAGTACTGCTAAGTCCTTGGGCAAAGAATACAATCTTCGGAAATTTATTTGGGGCTTAATCCCAATCCATCGATCCGGAATCCAGATGAGGAAAAACGAAACGAGGCAGAAAGAGATGGGAATCCCGGTTTCTCCCCGCCTAATCTAATCCGTGCCGAGGCGAGATTCGATTGCCTGCAGAAGAGAGACGCATGCAAGTTCCACCTTGGCCTCTTCACAAGGAAAGGCAATAAATCACGCTTTTAGGTTCTATTTCGAGGTTCTCGTAAACCTTCGATATCACCCTCTCGGACGAAGTACATTTCTAAGGCTAATTCTTAATTTAAATCTTCTTAATTCTTCTGAGGCTGCCAAGTCGTTGTGAGAAATCAACCGCTTCGTCGCAATGGAAATGTTCAAAGATTTCTTTCGAATCTTAATCAGTCCTTAAATCTGCTGAATAATTTCTCTTTCGATTTCACTGCACTGTGCTGAGTTCTTGCCGGAAATGACTCACTTGCAGTCGATTTCGAATGAAGAGAGCCGTTTTCGCGCCCCTCGCTCAAAAACGAGAACAAAGGCAAAACTTGAAATGATGCAAGAAGAAGCGGTTGCTTCGGGAACGTACGATTATACGTACGAAAGAGAATGTCTTCATCATTTTCACATTTTCCGACGATCGTCAATTTGGATTAAGTTATACGAAGGCAATAACAATAAATGAAAGCCGTTTACCATTCGTGATCGGAGAATGCAAACTCTGTTACTTTTAGACATAATCCTCGTCCTTCTCCGTGCATCACTCCAACTTCTTTATCAAATTTGTGGAGGCTTCGGCAAAATCATTAGAAACGTGTTTTGACCCCTGGAAAAATGGATGTCCCGAGAGGATTCCCGAACTCACGCATCTTTCCCCGCTAGGAGTCTTCAGAGTTCCAAACAGCCAGTTTTCTTTAAACCATTCGGGACTGCGGGGGCACAGGTTCGACCCAGGATTTTAGTCACCTATTCCTGTGGGCATATATGTTTGTTATGTTTTGGTCGCATGTTTGTAGAAAGTAAAAGCCAATTTTGCGGAGCGCGCGCTCACCCGGAAAAATAAAACCGTCCCACGGGAACGGCTGGCCACAGAAAACTCCGTACCGAATGGGCTAAGAAAAGTGACGAGAGAATACGATGGACGAGGGTCCATCCCTTTCTTGACAAAAACTCCTTGAGAGTGGCTGCACAATGAGCATTGTCACTATGATAACAAGAGATCACGCTGCCACAACTCGCACTGTTTATTTTTTCACTTCGGGCAAGATGTGGTTGCGAAGGACTTGCACGTTTAAGTCCTTCTTACAAGTCCTTCTTCGCCGTCTTCCCTTCTACCTCATCTAGCCAGCAGCGAAAACGTCGTGAGGGTTGTGACAGCATCATCTCTTTGTTATCACAATGACAATGCTTCTCCTCGTTGTGCTGCCACTCTCAAGGAGTTTTTTTTTTTTTTTGGAAGGGGTTGACCTGCTGCCTCATCCATCACATTCTCCTCGCTTTTCTCAAAGTCGATCAGAAGTTATTGCTCCAGATCGACTTTGCATTACCGATTCTCTTCAATTGATGCTCAAAGAAATAACCTCATTCTAAGCCCTTATTTTTTTTTTTTACTGATGTGGTGATGGTGCCACCGTCCAGAATGATTTCTCCAGTCTCCAATTCGCAAATAACCTCTTCAATTGTGTCCGAAAAGTGCCAGCCGCACCATGAGGAAATCGGCTACGAGCACATACGAATTTTATTTTGCATCAGGTAACGATATTCCAAGAGTGCCAACCAGAGTTTTTGCACGACCTGGTTCTGAAGATGCGCGCATATATTTTCACGCCGGGAGACCTCATCTGTCGGAAAGGGGAAGTGGCAAGAGAGATGTTCATCATTGCCGACGGCATCCTCGAAGTTATCAGGTACAACTCAGTTCTTCGCGCTTCTTCAAGGAAGTCGTTATTTTCTCTTCTTAATCGACTCTTCTTCGGCAGTGAGTCCGGGAAGGTGTTGACAACGATGAGAGCTGGGGACTTCTTTGGCGAGATCGGAATCCTCAATCTCGACGGCTTCAATAAGTGAGGCTTACTTCCTGTAGTTTCTATTCCCCGATTGCATCGTTTACCAATTCGTTTTCGGCTAATAACGTGTCGTGGAATTTGTCTGTGATCAACAGGAGGACAGCGGATGTGAGGTCGGTGGGTTACTCGGAACTATTCAGTCTGTCCCGGGAAGACGTCCTTTCTGCCATGAAGGACTACCCGGATGCTAGGGTAAGAAGCATCCATTTCAGTTGTCTCCCTCCCTCGTTAGGGTGAATGAGAGCAAGGATATTTACTCTTTCTTCTGTTCTATAGAGCATCTTGCAGACGCTGGGTCGAAAGCGGCTGCTGGAGGCGAAGAGGCAGGCTCAACCAACCAAACCTCAACCAACCGACACCAAGCCGGATCACATCTTTGGCACTGGCCTTGGCTCTGACATTCGTAACGGAGCATCCCCACCACCACCTCCGCCACCACCTCCTCTTCCTCCTCCTCCCCCTCCACCATTACCACCACCGCCACTACTACCCCCACCTCCTCCGCCTCCTCTTCCCCCATCCCCACCGCCTCGAATCGAACACAGTTGGACTGGGAAATTAAAGCAGGATGTGAGGAACTGGACTCAGTCTGTCCTTCGCAGTCCCAAACACAGCTTCAGGTATTTCCTCTCCCTCTCGGGCATTTTATCTTCGGATGTGATCTGATGAATGAACCTGCACTTTAATCTCAAACTTTCTCCTTTAGGAAGACGAGCGGGTGCCCTCCAGGGAAGGAAGAGGAGACGCTGAATCCCGAGAGACTAGCGACTTTGATCCATGAGCGAGAGCAGGTTCAACCGAAGAGATTCTCATTGAAAAAACTCACAAAGTAGGTATCACCCTGGACAAATACTAGCTAACCTCCTCCGCATTAAATGCAAACCTCCTCCGGAGGTATCGTGGGTGAAGCAACCCATAGCCTCTCTATTAAGTGAACGTTATTAATGACGGGTTCTCTATGTGGGACATGAGAAATGGTGCACCAGGGATTCCGCCTTCTCCTCTTGTATCAACCCTCTAAAATATCAATTTATTAAGTAGCAATTCAATTAGTCGATTAAATGCATTTATAAAATCTTTATCAATCAATATGGCAATAAATCAAGTTTACCACATTTAAAGATCGGAGATCGTCGAAATCTAGTGTGCTACTTTGAAAACTAGACCCTCGCATTTCACTGTAGGTCTTGGATTGAGTTTCAGTGAAAAATGTGTTGCTTTCAGTTTCACTTCCAATTCCAGCTTTCGAAAAAAAAATCTCTTGCAAGCATATCGGATTCTGAGGAACAACCAAATTTCCTCACTTTTTTCATTTGAGCTGGGAGGCCTCTACTGCTTTTCCCCGTCTGACTTGCAGAATCATTTCGTAATCCTGAAGCCGAAATTAAGACCACCAAAAACTGGTTGCCTTCAATTAACGAAAACTGAAACTGGAGTCGAAATTCTGCACAACTACTATAACTGAAAGAAAGATTTCTTGCGTTCGAACAGAAACATGTTTACACTGAAACTGAAGCCTTCAATCCACTATCCAAGTTGAAATTCGGGGGTCAAGTTTTCAATCCAGTGTTTTATTTAATTTTTTTTTATGCTAACCACCAATCATTTCATTTGCGAACTTGATGTATATTATTCATTTATTTTTAAATCTTACTTCATTCACTTATTGGAATACTATCAAATAAAACGGAAATTTTTCAACATTGATAATGGTGTAGTAGACGGGCTCCGAAATGCACCATGTCGTAGAGTACCCCAGAGTCTCTCTAAAAAGGCTCACTTTGATTTATTTTAGGGCTGTCAATTCTATCAGATTAATCGACCTATTTATCGATTAAAGTAATTTAAATCGCAATTTTGAAAATTAGTCGAAATTAATCGAATTTTAATCGACCCCTTAATCTCCCCCTAAATGCCTATTTTTCCCCTTATAATTTTACTGTGTAGTTCATAATTTCTCAAAACAACCGAACAACAAACGAATGCTTTATTAAGGGAATGAAATGTAACGATGGCTCATAGAAGTTGGTCCTTTTCGTATTGATCACTCTTCCTCAAAACGACATACCATTTTTGAAAAAGGAAACACAAAAACAAAGCCATCGCTATCAGATTATTCCAAAAAAAAGCATCCACAAGCGTACTGGCACGCATCCCATGTCCTTCTGCCTAGCCCACGGCCTTTAAAGGCATAGCCTTGCAAGCCTCGCGCGTCAGGCTAAGGTAACAGCGGCCATGGGCAAAGCGACTGAAAAGGCACTGGATGCGAATGGGGATAAGAAAGTCTTAAATGAAGAAGCTGCTAGGGAAAGCACAGTAGGAAGAGGGGAGTCAGGCAGGGGCATGGAGCAGGAGAGGCAGGAAAGAGGATAATGTAAAGACTGGGGAGTGAAAGGCTTACGTGTAAGTGCGCCGGCAAACGCCTGTGGTAGTCCCCGGAAAGTAGCCGACAAGGGGAAAGCGGGGAGCAGGCGAGAGAAGTGAAAATGAAAGTTTGAAATCCTCTCCTATTCCTTGTTTGCTCCTATTTCGCTCTTCCATCCTGTGTTACCCGTAGATCGTAAATGAATCTTTAAATCTCCGTATAATGAAGTGTCACTGTATACGTCCAATCATTTAGGTTACATTTTTGCACCCTTCCGTTATGGTTTGGCTGAATGATAAGGGCCTCAGAGCGCTTCTTTGCTTACTTTTCATTACTTATATGGCTAAGTTGTAACTATTTTCTTTCCGACTGGAATGTGCCACTTGTAGGATGAACTAGTGTATGCATGGATAGTAACTGCTACGTTAGCGACGAGGCTTCGCCTAGGTGTTGGGCGTGACATAAGCAGAATAATTCCCAGCAGGAATTATGGGATCGATTAACATTTTATTAATCGACCGATTAATCGATTAATTTTGTTCATCGATTGACAGCCCTAATTTATTTACTATCAAAGATAACCGTTTGACCTGTAGGGTCCCATCTCCCTGAGGAACTGAATTTGGGACAACATATCTCGAGAACCGTTTGAGCTAGAGGACTGAAATTTGGACTTTTTACTAGCTCCTGGAGGCTTCAGTGCATACATTTTTCTAAGCAAATACCTGTAGGAGGTTCAGCAACGATTTGATCGCTTGAATTGGAATTCCTCATTATGGGTTTGTGCTGTACAGGGCTCGTGATGAGGGTTCCCAAGTGGACACACCGACCTTGACCAAGTGCATGGAAGGATTCCCATCATCCGAAGGCCTCCCTCTTCTCTCCCGTATTCGTAAGCTCCGGGAACCGGACCGGGGATCCGGGAAACCACCCGAAGAGATCCTTCAAGTCGTTTCCACCGAAAAGGATCTCACCATTCAAATGATGGAGCCTTCCGGAAGAACAAAAATGTCTCAGCTAGACAATGACGGAGGACCGAAACCCTATAGCCATCAGCATTACCATCACGGTGTGGATCCTGCATGCAACCGTGCCGAGATGGACATCTTGGGCAATACTCACCGGGTCCAGAGCCAAGTGTCCACGTCCATGAGTCAACCGACGAGCCAAGATGCCCCAGCCGAGGCTTCGTTGGAAGCCGGAGATGATAAAGGGAAAGAACCGAGAAAGGCCTCGTACTCTCGGGACAGCGGATACAGCAGCGGAATAGTCCAACCTTTCGAAAAACCTCAACCCCCACGGGCAGATTACAAGATTCCCGAAGAAGCCCAACAAGTTTCATCGTCCATGGGCTCTTCCTCTTCGGAAAAGGATTCTGACACTTCGGAGGAAACTCCAGAGCGGAAGAATCTGAAAAGAGTCCTGAGGACCCTGTCGAAAGAACGCTCGGGGCGAGAATTGAAAAAGTTGATGCGCTCGGAGACCTTACAAGGATACATGGCAAGGCGGAAGAATTTGAGGAAGAATGTCACTTTCCTACGGGAGACCCTGTCCTCGCCACCTGTGGCTGCTGCAGGCCTCACCAGGACGGCGCAATCGAGTTCCTCGGACGAGGAAGAGTTGGTTAAACTCTTGAAAGGCACTGGCCGCTCCGTGGGACAGAAGGAAGAACTGCCCCAGGACTTCATGACTCAAACCATTCTCACCGTCCAGAACGTTGTTATTTCCAAAATGGTCTGTCTTATCTATCTTTCTTGCTCGTGCTTTTATTCCTTTGCATTTTGCGGCGTGATCTCACTTTTTGTATCGAAGGATTCTGAGGATTTTAAATCTAATTTCCTATTGGTGAGTTTCCTTCCCAAGAAGAGAAGAGACCACTTTTATTTTCATCCCGTCTGTTCGTGTGTCGTGTTTCTCTGTTTGACGGGAACTTAAGAAAATATCGTCCTGATTCTGTGACAATTGGCAGCATGACAAAGGATGGACTGGGTACAGTCTGGGTTTTTTCTTGGTGAAAACAATCTAATTATTCCAAGTGCAAGGTCGCAATTGGTTGACAATACTCTTTAATCTGATAGTGAAATATTCCTTCAAGTTGCTTCACCGCCACATCCCAAGTGAGGCATAACATCGCGCCAACACCGAAAAGTAGTTGACAATGTTAGCACAACGTCGCAGTCGGATGACAACATGGTATCCACGTACGCGCTCTACATAAATTCTTTCGAAACTATCTTCATTTGATTACCGAATTCTCAAGCATCTATACGCGTAACCTCGATTGGTTGTCATGCATCGAGGAGGAAGCCACGAAGTTAGGAGAATGCTTGAAAAAGCATTGCTTCGCCTTCAAAACATTCTTCAGGCTTCATTAATTGCGAACATTTTTGCAATTTGTCTTGCTTCAACGATGGAACAACGTTAACATTAAGTCAGCACCCGAAAAATGAGGTGCTGGGGAACTTGCCTTCGAAAGTCATGGTACGTTTCGGCACCGATCACCAGGCTAGTACCGGAAGTACAGGACAGTACTTAATATTCCCAACATGCAGGTCTATCCAAAATAAGGAAGGTTCCTTGAAGCTCGCGGAGGTGCATGCTTTCCCATTCGAGCAGTTACCTTGCGTCATCGTCACTCTAAAATGAAAGCTGGAAGACGGATGAACGACCGGTCCGCGAACATGGGGACATGGTCTTCGAAACCCATGCCATTGGAAATCTAGTTTTTTACTCTGTATTGTTGCATAGGCTAGAGCTCCCGTCTCCAACAGGGAAAATGAATGTCGAAGATATGCTCCTGACATTATTCTTTCTCAAAATGTGAAGACTAACGAATGTTACGTACACAAATGGACTGCACTAACAGTCGGCGCTTTTCACGATATATTTATCATTTGGTTGGCCCCAGTAGCTCCCTGTACAAATTATAAAACGTCGTAACGAATTACGATATGACGAAATATACCTTGTAACGAAGTAAATTTCCTGTACCCATCGCCAAAAATAAGTATTTATAACTAAATCGCAAAACCGATAATTCCGCTGGAACATGGTCTTAATTGTAGTGGGATACGCATTACTTTCACGCATGCGCTGACGATCAATTAGTCGCCCATTAGATGCCCATTAGATGCCCATGCCTAAAACAATACTATACAGTACACACTGGTTTGTTTCTACTTCATCTTCTGGTGAAGCGAAAATGTCATTACTTTTTTTCAAAATTTCGTTATAACGTTTTAACGTAAATACGTTAAAACGTTAAAACGAAGGAAAAGCGACCCTCTCTTGTACTTCGTAATAGCAAGCATCGGCAGTATATGCTCCACGATGAATTCCTAATCCTATTCTGCATCGACAAGAAAAAGACAACTGGCCAAAAAAAAGTGCAACAGGACACTTCTCTTAAGCACTAAACTCCTTCCATCGTTATCATGACTGAGGCACGAGTCAAGCAGGAAATGTGGAAACGATTCAGATTATTAGTTTCCGATTTGTAACTTAAATCTGTCTGCTATCCATTCGACGTTTATTGCTGACTAAAGAGCGCAAGGAATGATGGAGCAGCTCTAAAAGTAATTGCGACGTCAATCACCAAATCCCTTGAACTATTCGGTCCTTCATTACTCGGGTGGAACAATTAGTTCAATTATTTGACTTTGGTAATGTTCAGGACGCAGTGGTGCAAGAGTACCGGAGAGAGCTCGAAGAACTCCACACCACCCTGATGACAAAAGAAGCCCTCATAGCCAAGCTCCATGGACGCCTTTTGGTAAGTCCTCATCATTCCATCTCTTCACCTGCAATCCTCGCTGTAAGGTTTTCCCACCCGAATATCTTTCCGTTCACGACTTCACGCCTTCAGCATTCTTTTCGAATTTTTAGGTAATCAAGTAACCTGAGATGATATTCAAGGCAAAGTGGCAGAAAGATTCAAGTATCTTCCTTACTTTCTAGATAAATCCGCTTTTTTATTTAATTAAACTCTTAGAGGCCTCATAGAACAGCATCAACTCATCAAAACCTACTTTCGCCCTTGTTCGTAAATCAAAATTAAAACTATTTGTGGCCAAATCATTGCGTCCCCTTCCATCGTCATTTACATTTCCTCCCTGAGCTCATCGAAAACCTCTCCTCCCCGATCCATGGTAACGGTTCGCTGGACCGGGTCCTCCCAAATCCTCCACGTTTTACTTAAAGAGTTCGGATGTGCTCTCTAGGAGGAGGAGGATAAGGAGGATGGGGTGGAGTTGGAGATGGAGAAGGAGTTGAGCGTGGAGGGACCGGTGAGGCTCCGACGGTCTTTCACATTGGATGCCGCCCACCGCCTCCACCCTCTCCGCCAGGTAGGACGCACCTCTTCCTGGGACGTCGCTTCTTCCCGGGGCCGAGACCGAGGCAGACACCTCACGGAGGAGCAGCTTCTGGAGTTAGAGTTTGGCCCTGCCATCCGTCGCAGTTGTGACGCCAAAGACTTGGCTCTTCGCATGGAATCGAGTCCTAATTCATCCGCACCTTCCTCAGACTCCGATGACGAGGGCAAGAGAAGACGGAAGCACAACGACTGGGAACTCCAAATGTTGATCCAAAGTATGGGAGACCGAGAGGCGCAGAAGCTGGAAGAGGAGCTGACTGTCGCACCTGAAGCCCCCACCAGGTTCGTGGAACTCAGTCCGTCGGAATTGGAATTACTGCAAAGTATCATGAGAGACGAGACCCGGACCCGGAAGCGTGGAAACAGTGAACAGTTCCCATGGGCGCATGCTTTTCTGATGTCCGAGCGAAGACGAGGAAAGGCAGGGAGTGCGAGTTTGTATCGCAGGAGCTTCACTGAACCACGGCCGCGCGAAGCCGAAGGCCCAAGTCAGGAGCAGGAGATGCGCCTCAATCCCGCTCCCGAAAATCCAAACGTACAAGTACCTGACACGCAGTCAACGAAGATGTGAAGACGGAAAAGTGACACTCCTCTCAATCATACGAACCCATTCTCCGGGTGATATCATATTTTAGTCTCTGATTCCCTCTCTTCATCTCGCTTCGAATAAAGGTCATTTTGTTTTCCAGACAGACATATCCCCAAGGCAAGGGGCATGTTTCCTGTTCGTATGCTTATTATCTCCTAGCGTTATAAACCTTATAGGATATTTTAAAGTCGGAAGTAGATGTACTTTTGAATTTATTAGATTTTATTTGCAGTAAAGATGACTTCATGAACCCTATCATGAACCCTTCATGAACCCTATCATGAACCCTTCATGAACCCTTTCCCGAATCCGTATTTCTTAATGGACTTTCTGGAGCTGGCCACGTTCACGTTCCAGGTTCTAACCCCACCTCTTACACCGTCCTAGACAGAAACGGCCGTGCCAGAGCCCTATCCCCACGCCGCTCATTTTCATTTGGTGTCACCCGCGTGGAATAACCAGAGAGGGCGGTTTGGATGCCAGCCAAGAGAGATTTTTTGGCCTCCACTTCTTCAAGCCACAATCCTCCCCCCCTCCCCTTTGAATTTAGGTGGTGGGAGTAGCAGCAGTAACTTCTCGAGAAGCAAAAAATGAGGACGGCGATGTCCGTCACGAATTTGGCGGTCATCCACTGCTTCAGTTTCGGTTTCTCTTCTAAATGGACCTGGATTCATTCATACACTCATAATCACTCATGAATATCACTCAGTAATCACTCAGGAAAACCACCTCCAATGTTTTCACTCAAGCCAGAACCTCGTCCGATGTCCATCATGGTGAAAATTACAACATAACTCATATTTGTGAAAAGGTTATTGCGAAAAAGCACGTATTTTGGTTCACAGAAATATTTTGAAAATATTTGCGTTTCTTTTTAGCTGATGAATATTTCAAGCTTATGGGTCTTGCTTTAACCGCATGGGGAGGAGAGAAAATTGGGCAGAGATTGCATGAAAATAATATTTTGGGATGAACTAAGTTTTTTTTGGATACGACTATATTGAATGAGCTTGCATCGATTCCTGCTGGAATCACTTTCGCAGCTCCCAGCATTCCTTACATAATTTATCAGTTTCAGTGCAGATAGTGGTGGGGGGGGCTAGTGGTGAGGTGAGTCTGTTGCGCACGACGGGCTCCTTGTTCCATTCTCCTGTCTCCGCTGTGTCTTGTCCCGTGATAATACTGTACATTCTAGTACTGACTTTTCAACTTCTGACTTCAACTTTTTAAATATAATACTGCAGGATATCCAAGCGAATAAAATTCTAATATTATCTAAAGTCTAATACCAACCGTTCAGCACCCGTGGTCGAATCTCGTCGTTTCTTCCTCGAGGCTTTTGAGTATCGCCTTAAAATCGGGGGGGGGGGAAGGAGAATACTTCCCGGTATTTTTGGACCTCACCCATTTCCGAAACGGATTTACCCAGAATCGGTGGCGGCTTTTCAGAGAAGACAGGATAGGCAGTGCCTAACCGGCTCGAAATTAGTTGTATCAAATTAACGTTCCTGTACCCGTACCTATACTACGATGAGCACAGCCTAGAAGGATTTGTTTTTACTCGTTCCAAAATTAAATGCAAAATGAGATTTTGCTCCCGTGGTAGGCAAGATGCGGCCTGCTTACGAAGGGCCAGCCTTGAATCCAACTCAGGGAAGAGGAAAGGGGGGAAGTGAGCTTACCAAGGGTCATCCCAGTTTTTGGCCACGCTGATACGACTCCCATAGTTTGCGGACACCCTGTGCGCACATCGGGAAACACTAGTTAATAGGTCGGGAAGAAGTTGATAGAATGCTTGAAAACGGCCAGATTAACTAATTATGTTGGATTCAAGCCTCACTGGCCAACAACTGGAGACCGGCCAGAAACCGGGGTGCTTACCCTATGTGTGTAAAAAAAAATGAGTTGAAAGAGCGCTATGTTGGTATTTGTTGCTATTGATATGATAAGCGTAAACTGTAAGAGTAAGGTATTATTGTAAGATTATGTGATGTCGGAAAGAGGTGATAAATAGATGCGAACGGTGGTAAAAGCAAGTGCGATAGTATGGTACCATCGAAGTGAATTTAGGATCAAATACAGGATGACCCAAAAGTCCTGGCACACATGGAGGTTAGCATATTTATTTCACAATCTTAACAATAAACAACAAACTTAAAAACAAAAAGAACAATGTCCTAAG